AACGATCTACGAATCAATTTTTTTTTATGTGGTCTTGACGAATCTCTATTTCGCACCAGTAGTAGTCAGCCATTATGTGCTCATCCCAAATACCTTGGCATCTCTTCTCCATATCTTTAAGTCTTGATAAAATCGCTCATCTTGTTCTTTGCTGAAGTCGCTCAACTTTTCAGGAAAGTAGTCAATATGGCAGTTCAAAAAATGAATCTTCAGATTCATGAAGCATCCTACATCTCTAAAGTTTCTCACCATTCTCTTGACAATAATCTCTTCTGTAATCAGCATCCTTTGTGTTCCCCAGAAACTTCTGAGTCACTTCCCTCAAGCTTCTTCAGGCTGCCTTTTTTTCTGATGTTATTATTTTTTTGAATTTATCATTTTTTAAGAGAGATCTGACTTGAGGACCATCGAAAACTCTCCTCCATTGATTTTCATTTAAAAATATATTTAAAAACTTTGCTATCTTTGGCCTGCATAACTTTCACAAATTGTTTAATAAGTCTGAGCTTAATGTGTAAAGAAGATAGAAGTATTTTGTAACGTAATACCAAACAGTCTTTCAAAACAGTTTTTACTTAGTGTGAAAGTTTGCCTAGTTCTTCTTGGCGTAGTGTTGTTTACGTGCACGACTATTTCATTTACACAAAAAACATGGAAATTTTATATAATGCTACATAATGATATATTGATGTTGTTACACTCGCGGTTAGAACGACTCGTCTCCGTCGTTAAATTCCGCGATTGGCGCAACCGTCCGCGGAAATGAGAGAACGCGGCTCTTTGATCAACACTTTATTATGGCTCAAATTACAATAATAATTAAAAAATGCGACCGAATTTACAAATACGTCGTGACAGAATCCGCGACCCAGAATTCTCCTTTCTCACAACAACCGTCGTCGCCCGGCAATCGACAGTTGCACTGAGTGCGCGCCGTTCACACAGCTCTCGCGGCACACACGCGGTGTCCGCCGCGTAACACCTCTTCCTCTTCAGATCGTCGTCCCGACGATCAAAGGAAGACTCCAGTCTTCCTGCTCACTCCTGAGCTGCTGCTCCAAGATCTCGAGCCAACTGGGAAGAAATTCTTCTCGAATAACTTCTATCTTCGGGGTTTCGACAATTTCTCGACACACTTCGATCTTCGGACACGGGGGGGAAAGAAACATGCGTGGACCGCCCTAAAACTGGCATTCCAAGTCCCCGCCTCGGCATCTGCCCAACGGCCCACGGGAAATCACGCGTCGAAAACCGTGAGCGAGGCAGTCTTCCTTAACAGTACAAGTTAACAACAAAAACGCTTTGCGACAACGACGATTTTCACGAAGAGACGTCTCACGCAAATCACGACAACGCGACGACCGCTCCGCGACGACGACAACTCCCGAAGAAGCGTCCCACGACGACACGACGACCGCCGAACCGGGCACCAACATAACTAAACGGAAATAAAAGAAACACCAACAAAACATGCTTTTAAAAGCAAAACAAACAGAACAAATTAAAGAAAGATAAAAAAAACAAACAAACAAAATAATTTAACAAACAAAATAATTTAACGGGTTTCCGATGTGTGTTCCAATCGTTCACAAAACAACGCCAACCTGTCAGCATGCACAACCTTACACTTATGCCTATTTGAGCGACGTATGCAATACACTACGTCACTCAACTTTTTCACCACTAAAAACGGCCCTTCCCAATTTTTCTGCAATTTAGGAGCTTTACCCTTACTCCTACGAGAATTAAAAAACCAAACCTTTTGCCCCTCATCAAAAAGGACATGCTTGGCCCTACAATCATAGCGCATTTTCGCTTTTTCCGACTTTAACACCAACCGCTCCCTAACATCCTGATGAATTTCCTCTAACTTCTCCCCCAATTTCCAAATATAATCCTCCGGAGAATCCGAACAATAATTCGGCGGAGCACCCCGCAACAAATCTAATGGCAGGCGCAGATCCCGACCGAAATTCAACTCAGCCGGAGTAACTCCCGTAGCCTCATGCCTAGAAGATCTATAAGCAAACAGAAACATAAGAATCCAACGATCCCAATCCTTCTGATTCTTGTCAACAAACTTAGACAGATACTGCAATATCGTCCGATGCTGCGTTTAAACCTGCCCATCAAACTGCGGATGAAAAGCAGTAGTCCTCGTCTTTTTTATCCCTAACAACCACGACAGCTCCTGAAAAAGTCGAGACTCAAAATTCTTCCCCTGATCCGTATGCAATTCCAACGGCACACCAAACCTGGAGACCACTTGACTAACAAAAACTTCCGCAAAGGTCGACGCTCTAACATTCTTCAAAGAGAAAGCCTCCACCCATTTGGTAAAGCAATCTACAACCACAAGAAGATATCTATTCCCCGAAGAAGACGCCGGAAAAGGACACAGAATGTCCATCTGTACTCTCTCAAAAGGCACGCCAGCATTAAAGATCTGCAACAGAGATTTTCCCGGGCGTGTTCCGTTTGACCACAGTACGATTCGACACCG